AGTTTAGGTTAACCAGTTTTAACTTCAAATCAACCTTTATTTATTTGAAATGTAAAATAATTGGGATATTTGAAAGGCTATATGAAAATTACTTACAATTAAAATTAAAAATCATATTTAATTATAACTAAATATAAAAATAAATTATGAAAAGTGAAATTCTTGTATATTTGAGATTTTTAAATATAAAATAATTGGGCTCTTAAATATTTTCATATAGAAATTAATTACAATTAAAATGAAAAATAATAAACAAGGGAGAGGGCGTTGGTGGCCGCAACGGTTTAGGCGTTGACACGGCGCTCATCACTGTAAGGTAAAGGTTGCGGGTACGAAACCAGCGACCCTGCATTCGAAACTTACAAATGGGCTTTTTTCAAAAACACCGGCACCCCGAGGGTTGATATAATCTCGAAACCTCGTTAAAAAAAATAAACAAGGGATTCTTTTTTGAATTGGAGAAGTGTAAAAAATTGTGGTTTTTAATAGCTCAATTATTTTATATATAGAAAAACTAATTAAAAGAAGAAGAATTTGTTTTTTATATTTGATTTTGTATCATTTCTTATGTTTGATTTAATTAATTTTTATATAGTGTAAGATCCTAATGATCAGAGCACTAACCAGCTGCTACAGATAAATTAGCGAAGGCAGCTGGAGTCATAAGTGCAATAACATAAGTCACTCGAAAATCTCACAACTGTTGAGTAAGGTTAACGGCCAATTATTAAGCGTTAGTGATAAAAAGATGAAAACCCCTTCGGGGAAAAGTACTTTCAGGTAGTCACCCCTTGTGACCATATTTATAGTGTAGATGATGACGATCGCAACATAGACCGCTACACAGATGTCGCACTTATCAAAGGTAGAGGGAGTGGTGCAGGAATACCATACCTACATACCTAAATTAGGAATCAGCATCTCCTCATCTCTTGGCAATAACACTTCCGTTTTTCAGGCGGAAATCTGGGCCATTAAGGTATGTTGTAGAATACTTACGGAAAATAATATTAAGGGAAAGGATATTAGAATTTTTTTGACAGTCAGGCTAGTCTTAGGTCATTACAAAAAGATTTGGCAATCTCAAGACTGGTGGAGGAAACCGTAGATCGTATCAATCGGATCTCTTCCAGGTTTGAGACAAGATAACCCGTATTTGGATACCAGCACATAAAGGACACTATGGTAATGATAAGGCGGATGGCCTGGCCAAAGAAGGTTCTAATACTTCTTTTGTAGGGTCACAACCGGTATTACCTCACTCTATGAACATAGCGAAAGAGAGTATTAATAACTGGGGCATGAAACAATTCCTTAGGGAGTAAAATTTATCCTCGGACACAGGAAATCGAAAGAGTTCGTTAAGGTGATCAAACCAGCAGAATCGAAACGGCTATTCTCTCTCTCAAGGAAGGGAATTAGGAGGCTGATAGGTATCCTGACGGGCCACTGCCCACTGAGAAGACACCTCTCCGTAATGGGTATTCTACCAGATCCCTTTCCGTTTCTGCAAAATAAAAGAAGAAACGGCAAGGCACTACCTCACAGAGTGTGATAGGTATGCTAGGTCCAGATTTGAAATCTTTGAAGGAGAGGACATCACCAAATCACTCCCCGAGATAAAATGGTCTAAAATCTTGGGGTTTGTGAACAAGTCCAAGAGCCGACCTGATTATTTTATATTAATTTTTTTCAATGCGAGAATTTTGTTTTACGTGCTTGTTTATGTTTTAAAGAATGGATTGATTTGATAGTAAAAAGCCGTACATTTAATATATTTGTAGAAGGGAGCACAGGTTCATTACGAATTCGCAAATTCGCCCTTTTCAACCCTTTCCCCTTCAAATTGACTATTTTTGTACCAAATTAACCCTTTTTTCCTTCAAAATAGTTTTAATTTTAAATTAATCTTTTGTAACTTCAAATTAATCCTTTTTTATTTTAAATTGACCCTTTCTAACTTTAAATTAACCGCTTTTAACATCAAACTCACCCTTTCTTTAAGACATTAAAAAAACTTAGAAGATGAAATATAAGCATTTAAAGTGAAATTCGTGTATATTTGAGTTTTATTTTTTAATATAAACATAATTGGGCTATTAAAAACCATATGAAAATTAATTACAAAATTAAAAACTTAGGAGATGATAGGAAATATAAGCATTTAAAGAGAAATTCGTGTATATTTGAGTTTTATTTTTTAATATAAACATAATTGGGCTATTAAAAACAATATGAAAATTAATTACAGTTAAAATGAAAAGTAATAAATAAAGGATTTTTTTTAATTTGAGAAATATATTAAATTGTGGTATATTATTTATTATTTTTTATTTTTAAAAATCTCAATTAAAAGAAGAATTATTTTTTGTTATATTTAATTTTATATAATTTTTTAAGTTTGATTGTAATTAATTTTCATAGGGTCTTCTATGTTCCCAAAAATTTTACATTTAATTTTTTTAATGTAAGTATTTTACTTTACGTGCTTACATGACAAACCGGTGTTTTTTATGTTTACAAGAAATGGTTAATTTGACGACGGGAAAGCTATAAGCTAAATTAACCCTTTTCAATTTTCGAATCACCCAGCGGAAAGCCCTCGTGATTATCGTCGAAACAAAAAGTGAAAGAAAGCGACTTGTATTGTCGTTATTTCCAAGTGGCACGACGAACTCACGCCAAGTTGAAGTGTTAAGTTGAAAGGGAAAGTACCGAAATCGCAATGTGAAAAATTAATAACGCAAAAGGAATTCGATTTTGAAACGCACAGCCTCCTCGCGATATTCCACTCGTTTAGAGTAAATTACTATCTCCGCCCGCCTAGATCTGACCGGAGTATCTCCATCTATTCATTGGTATAATATCGACTACTTCCTTCTCATTTAACGGATTTGAATCGTTTGAGGATTGAGATCACCCCGGCTCCTGAACGTGAGCATGGCGAAATCGCCCACAAGACGATTCACTTTTCACCTGACAATTATCTCGTCAAGCATTACCGTATTATGTGTTCATTTGAAAGCAAAATCTAATAATCTTGTATTGAAAAATTAGCGATAAATATGATTTGAAAGAAGAAGAACGCACAGTAAATTCGTCAAGCGTTCGAGAAATATATCCTTATATACAGGGTGTTCGGCTCACTCGGCTATTCGTGTTACAAACTTTGCCAGTAGATTCTACATTCAAAAAGGAACCAAAAAGTCCTAATTAACTATGGTCCCAATCTCAGCAGCTTAGGAGTTATTCCACTTTTTTCAGGTTTTTTAAGATCACAGTGTATAATAAACATCTACTTACAAAACTGAAACTTATGGTTTCAAACAAAATGAATAGTAAAATATAATAATGTCAGATGTATGTGATTTATTCCTTTTTCCTCACCATTAGGGTCATGTATACGCCTTAAATTTATAAATTGCCTAGTACATTGAAATCAGGAGTCCTACAGGGACATAGCAGCCCAGCAATCCCGAGCCATCTGGGTGAAAATAATTTTAAAAAAACAGTATGAAGTGGAACTACTTGTCGCCCCTAAGAAAGATGGTCTTTCGGAACCTAAGTTGTCCGATACCTCCAGCCACCCGAAGCCCGAACCATTCGCTATTGAATGTAAAGTCTATTGAATACATGCTGAAATGGCATTAGGTCACTAATTGGGTTGACAACAAACCAAGTTCTTATAAATTAATAGTTTTTGCGTAATTGAAAGTCTTGATCGTTTGTTTAGTTCCCGTCTTTTCGGTCTAGTGTAGGGGTACCATGTCTTTTATCGAGAAACATGCCTGGATATATTACTATGCCTACAATCTGGATAAGTAAGTTATTAGAGTATTGTACATGTTACACGGCAGAGGGTAAAAGGCTGAGTGGATACATGCTTTGCATTAATTTTTATTCTCTATCTCTTCGATCATTATTGGATTGGGTTAGGTGTTGAAGTTAGCTATGTTTCGGTTTTCATGCGAGGATAAGTGTGTCGTCTGCGAACAGATAGCAAAGGAATATGGATTTGACAATTGGCAGTGTATACTTATATAAAAGAGGACCTAGTATGGTCCAATGCGATACCCAGCTCCGACAGGAATAACACACCTTAACACTGAAGCTAAACTCTTAACCAATTTTTACCCGGTTTTTGCGACTTAAGTCTCATTTTTGGGATGGTTTTTATCTAGTTTTTATTATGTCTCGGAACACCCGCGATCTTAATCGCAAATGATACCTCGGGTTCTTTCTAGAAGGAAACTCTTGTGAGAGCCGGGAGTGTCTAGAAGAATATTTTTTACCTTGTTTCCCGTGCAGGCTTTCAACACGAACTGCCTAAAGTCATAGCAAAGGTGATTGAAATCTCACCCCAACGAGCACCAGTTCGCTCTTGCCACTATGTCTGCCTTTTCGTTCAATCCACCTTGTTCGGAAATCCATTTTAACAAGGTTTCCCCATTTGGGTTTCGATATATTTCCATTTTCTAAGAATCTTGGATATTCATAAATTATGTTAATGGCTTTGAGTACAACGAGGATTGCTATTTGAAAAAAGTAAAGGGTTTCATGGCAAATGGCCTAAAAATCTGGAAAATGTAGAGAGTGATCCGACGACTCCATCCAGCTTCAGCTTTAATTTTACTCATAAAGCATATTGCTATAAATAAGGAGATAAATTTTCCCTTGGACCGAAAACAAACCTTCGAACCCCATGTATATTTACTTTGAAAATTTATTTTACCTACTTACCAGAATCTAATAAGACTTACATTAAAAGATTAAAAAATGATAGTAGTTTAATTTAAAAAAAAAATCTGTTGGTCTAGAAAAACGTGCGAGTTCCCTTACGTTATGTTACATAGTAAATTAAAACTATAGCTGAATCGTATACTATCTTTCCTGAGGCAAAATGTCGACAGAAAATCATTGCATTCAGTAACAGCAGTTTATTGATCATTAATTTAATCGAAAACGACTACTTGCCAGGCTGACTTAAATTATGTACATACCGAGCCTCGCTTGGAATTCCTTTTCAAGCTCTGAGACGAAAACGGACTCTCTGACGAGGCCAGTCCCGAAGGAGGCCATGATCTCGGAGATTTTCGCCCATTCCTCCTGCTCGTCAAAAGGGCTGAGGACGCATTTATCAGAGCCTTTGGCCTCTTCCTGTGGCTCTTCCGATGCCATGCCGCCGCTTTCATAAACGTGCCGGAGTTTTCTTAAAGTTTTAGGCCTTTCCGCCCGCGTCTCAGATGTAGTAGAGCCCTTGAAGAGACCTGCGACAATAAAAAGAAGAAGATTCGATAAGATATATTGCTTTTTAAATTTTGTTATTTTAAACTTACTGGATTAAAAAAATCTTGAATAATATGCCAAAACCCTCTCAATAAAACATCTTGAACTGCAATAAAATTGGAATCTTTGTTTCCTTTGTAATTTCAATATTTACTGTTTCAATGAGAGTTTTTTGCTTAAAAATTAAAAGGTATTTAGATACTCTTTTATTTACTATTACAAATGTAATATTCACTTCCTCACTAGGGAGGAAATAGCGAGGTCATTGGCACTTTAGACGTCATGGAGGGTTGTCGGGAGGAGTTCGGAAAGAAAATTATTTGGGTAGCAGGGATGAGGACAAATTGGATTTGAAAACCTATGTGGATAGTGAAGTTGGACACGAAGTATAGGGCTTGCCCAATAGTGTAGTGTAGTGAGGTGGAATGCTTGGTTTTACCTCACAGTTCATTCCGTAGAAGTCATATCAACTAGGTCTAAGTTTGTTGAAAGGAATGCGGTTTCGACTGCATCTGCAGCGCATACTGAATAGGGAATAGAAAAAAGATATTGTCTTGAAGAACACCCGCACGGAAGAATGGATAGGAGAAAAGGATTTTCTGATTCGTGCTTGAAAGTACCTATCGCAATGATTTTAGGATGTGAACATAAATGAATTGATGCCCTTCAGTTTCCAGAATAAGGTATAATACTCGATCGAAGGCTTTCCTCACGCCTAGGAAAGCACTCGAGCAGCATTCCTTCCACTCAAGGGAGGAGGCAATGATTACAACCCTATTGAATCGTAGTGATATCGCCTAAACCCGACTTGATGAGATGAAATGACATTGAAGCTTTCTGGGATGGGATGGTGTTTTACAAGTATTTTGCCGAATAATGGTAGCAAACATGGCGATATGACAGCTAATGTGTTTAAAAGTTGGGAATGGGTTTGATGGTTAATATTTTTTATTCGATGTGGACATCCAAGGGATTGGTTGTTAGAAAAAGTACAGCTTTTTTGGTAAGATTTCAAAGGAGTTTGTACTTGTATGATGATGTATTTGTCTTCTGAAGAAGGGAAAAGAGAGTGGTAAAAGGCTGACTAGAACTGAATGTGTTCGTGATGACTGGCATTGCTTATATGAGGAGGATGAGTAAAGATGTTAAGTGTATGTAGGATGCTTTGTCTTCTTCAGAAGCGGCCTCGCAACGAAGAGAAGTGAAGGGTAGGGTCTAGTCTTCAAAGTGTCTTAGAGTAAGTGAACAAGTTTGCTATATTTTGATAAGTCAGATGGGTAGCGAATACCTTGCCATTTGGCACGAGTCCCTTTTGTCGGATTAGAATTCTTATATTGATCAGTATGCCGTTGGGTGTATTAGGTTTACAAGTAGATATACTACTTCAACTATTTGTATTTGGGTTTTTAATGGTAAACGTATAAATTAAGCATAAAGTTCTAATACAAGTACGTCACAAAAACACTCAACCTCAATTGATTTTATTATTTAATTGACTTAGTGTCTAACACATGAGACAAGCCACAGTAGGAATGTTGACAGAATTTTTTTGGGGACCGGCCAGAAATTCCAAGGGTGGCGGTGGGAATCGAACCCACGACTGCGGCGCTTAATCACTCTACTACCACAACTTGGAACTTCGATAAAATAATTATAGACAATTAAGTATAACTGGGTTTATCTGACGACAGATTAGTCAATGTGACATTGAGGACATCGAAAACATTAATCTAAATAATATTCTTTTAACATTTGGTAGATTATCATTGTCAAATTATTTACTGTGAGATAAAAATAGTCACGGTTTTTCTTTATCTTCTTTTCATTGTCAATTTGTTATTCTTAAAATATCAGGCATGTGCAGTTGTTCTGCGTCTATATTAACACTTGAGATGTTTCATCGGCTTGACAAACTGCTTCTGTGGAAAAATGCGTAAGGCAGAAGCCAAAAAGCGAGAATAAACGGACCCATAATCGAAAAGAGAAGAACTGTTTTTTAATTGTTTTATCAAGACAAGTTAGGAATTAGCATTTCGTTGTCCCGATATAAATAAAATTGTCAAAAATTTAAATCTGATTAAAAATAAGTGAATAAATTATATCCCTTTCATTGCAAATATTTGAAACTGATTATTTCTTGCCACGCGTTTTCAGATAAACTATGAGTTTACGATTTAAAATTCGAATGAATAAATTAGGGAAAATATCCAAGGAATAACTTAATAATAAGGTCAATAATAATAAAATTAAGCCTAATGATTTTAGGGGTTATAAAAAATGTAAAATAGCTTCAATAAAGGGATCTGTGGTATAAGGAAGCATAGAGGCTTGGCCTATACCTTAAAAAACTGGAGACAACATTCTCTCTAGGAGAGAGTAAGCTTGGTGAAATAGACGCCACAATGAGTGCGGTAGACAAACCGGCGATTAAACAAATGTTTTGTTTCTTTCAAATGTATGACGCCAATTCGATAGACACTTACCTGCAGTCTTTTTAAAAACTACTCAAACTAGGAAAAAATTGAAATAGGATTTGTTTTAGCGTTATCTCTACTTTCGAACATTCAATGTTATGAAAAAATGGCGCAAAACAATTTGAAAAGCGGTCCAAAACAACGTAAGACATTGCAAAAATAACAACGTTAAATCAGAAAGAAAACTTCGTTACTGTTCTTATGCGAAAAATGATTTTTTTTTCACAATTTCAAAAACATTTGTTTTGAAATTTAAAAAAGAATTAGATAATTAAAGTGAATGTAGATAGGTGAATATAAAGCGTATCAACGTACAAGCTGTCGTTACGAGTTGATAAGAAAAAATGGATTAACTTCATTTATTTTCGATGTTTCGAAGTTATATAATCTTCATTTGCGGTTCTGAAACTTCATCTTTATATAAATTTATCCTTCGTGGATCGCAGAATACTTTGACCATCTAGTCTCTCAAAAATAAGCTTAATATAAAATAATGTGCGAACAGCCATACGATATGTTTCCTCCACGTTTGTTACTAGCTCAAAGAAAATATTCCGATCGCTTTAAGTAGTACAAATCAAATACCAAAGGCTAAACAAAAATTCATTTTAAAATGGATATGTATTTGGGCTGGATACACAATTCTTTTTTTCGTGACCGATTTTGCGTCATCGATATCGAGTTACCGGGGAGTGACCAAGGGGAGTATAGTATAATGGCTAGGCACAGATTAGGTAAAGTTAGGGTTAAGGTTATATTATCGTTTGGTAGAGTTAATATTAAAGTCAGGGACAGGTTAGGTTGGGTAGAGTTAGGATTAGGGACAGGCTAGTTTAGGAATGATTTGGTCAAGGACGGGTTAAGTGTTAGGTAGAATTAAGAAGAAGGTTAGAGTTATGGACGAGTTGAACAATTGAAATGGCCACGGAGTGAAGATATACTTATTTTAACTTATTCAATTCATTAGTTTTCGTGGTCCACTTGACCAATCAATATCTTTCAATTAATTAAGGTTTTTAGTTGAGATAAAAAAGTCAGTGTCACGAGCGGGATTCGAACCCACGACCTTCGGCTAGATACGCCGCTGCTCTACCACTTGAGCTATCGTGACCTTGATCCACTCGGACATTCATTTGACGCCGAGAATCAAATAGATTACACATTTCAAAATGGCAAAAAGGAGGGAAAATTCAAAAGTTGGGGTTGAGATGGGAAGTTAGTGTCCGAGTGGATCGAAGTCACGATAGCTCAAGTAGTACAGCAGCAGCGTATCTAGTCGAAGATTGTGAGTTCGAAACCCGCTCCTGTCACTGACTTTTTTATCTCAACTAAAAACCTTAATTAATTGAAAGATATTAATTGGTCAAGCGGACCACGAAAACTGGAGAATATAATAAAATACATAGACATACTACAAATTATAAGCTGGAAACATAATCTGCTTATTCAAATATCAAGGAATGCTCCGGAACGGAAATAAAACGGTATATCCCTTGTTCACAAAAGAATTTCAGAATAACGCTTTTAAACCAAAATCAAGACGAAACTGTAACTCAAAGATCCACAATCAAGAGCTATCGCACAATTGACTTGTTTAATTATTATACATAATCGATTCCAGGCCAAGTCGTGTAAAAACATTATCTCTCTTAGATAAAATTCCGAAGTATTTTGCTCGTTTGAAAGGACGTCATTCAATCAATATCAAAATATTTAAAGTAATAGCAATAAAATAAAAAAGAAATTAAATCTGTCTTCCCTGAATTAGTAAATTAATCGAGTGAGGAGAATTATCAATGAACCTATGACGTCGCTATGGGACATTTCCATGTAACAGTTGATTGAATATATCTTCAGACGTATCTGAATTGAGTGGAAATATGCTTTAAATATTAGAACTTTGTCGAATTAAATGGTCGCGAAGGGAAAAATTATTCCATTAAATGCTAATCAAGGTAATAAAATAAGCCGTAACGAAAAATTATCCACAGACAAGCCTCATCTATTGTAAACTAATGATTTTGTTTATTCTGTTGTTGTTTGATAGATCATCGCTAAAAAAAGGTACAGTTATATTTTTTAAACTCAGTCGAGACGAAGTTTCACTGATCTATTGTTGCACAATCGCATTTCGGCCGGGTCGTGACCGGTCCATTCTAGCAACAACACATCGCGTTCTTCACCGGGCATAAACGTTTTATATTCTGTCTAAGAAATATTTGTTCAAATCAGGTCAAACAGGATGAAAGAAAACAATTAGATCATCAACAACGTCAGTGCATAACTCACAATATTATAAATTGTCAAGATCATATTGTAATTGAACAAACTACACTATCCACTACACACAATACACCTGATAAGCACATTTTAAGCAAAATTTCAACATTTTAACCTAAAGGAAAAGGTGCTATAGGGTATTCATGGTAGGGTTACATGTCTATTGAGATCTATACAGTATGAATTTCTTTGCGAATTTAGGATGAAATATTTGTAAGTCTCATTCA